TTGTTTTGAGTTTCATGTTTACTTTTTCGATCACTTGTCTTTTTGTACTAATAAATGAATTATTTAGATGTAAAATTCAAGTTGAAAATGAGGAAATTGTGAGATGGTAGGAGGAGATTTAAATAAAAATTGATGATACTCAATTGCTCGTGTTTTAATTAGCTTTTTTATTTAAAATCAATTAGAAACGGAGCTTCTGGAAGAACCATTTGTTCTTGCCCAGTTTGTACCTGAAAAAATAATTACTCAATAATGAGAGAAATCGATTAATTATTTTCAGGCGGAATACAATGACCCAATTACTCGCACCTGTCTCAATTTTTTTTTAGATATTGTTCTTTATTAATAATTACCTCTCTTCGAATTTAACACGAGTCTGGAATCGAACCTTCTTCCTCTTCATGGGGTCTTTCAGGTCTTTTGGGGCTACCTTATTGTCCAGAGGTAAATCCACGGTGTATCTCGTTGGCATCAAGTGATTGTAATTGAGAATCTGAAGAAAAAAAATTCAAAAGTTCTCAAAACCGAAGAATTAACGGGTTATTGATGGAAAATACTCTTATTAAAAAAAAATTATTATTAAAAACCTCAGAATCATCTGACAGTCGAAAAAATTAATTTTTCTAATGAATACGTTTTTTTTTTATAAATATTGAAGAGGTAATTTTGACGGATTAATTTCTGGCTTGACAATTGAATAATTGAGGGAGAAAAATATTGAACTCACTCTGACAAAAGGCTTTATCTTGGACCTCTTGTGGATCTTCGCCTTTCCCATGCGTTTGTGAACCTTTCGTGGATAACGATCGATTCCAGCTACAAGTGCATGTCCATATTGTCTCTCTGTTGTTCCATCATCGTAATTTCTAATTACAATAGCTTTTCGTCCTGCGTACCGGCCACTGAGGACCAGCACGACTTTTCCTGATTTCATTATCTTCACCATTTTGGCGAACTGTAAACAAAAATATCAATTAATCACTCTCCAGTTTGTCTGAGCAATTTAATTTGTTGCAGACATCCAACAATTACAGATTCTTCTCAATGAATGGATCGAAATCAATAAATAAAATCATTTGATTGTCTCTCAAACTAGAATTAACATTCAATCAATATTTTTGGAGCTTGACGTAACCTCCAATTGTCAAATTTGAAATAACAATGAAAATTAATTTTTTTACTCGAGTTCTGAATTTTTTTCGGATTCAAAAAACGTCTGAAGATGGAAAAATAGTGAATTTTGAGTTTTTGTTGTCTTCAATTGCTTCGGGGAATTATTGGGATCTCAGACGTGTGACGGGTGCACTTTGTCCAATTGTTTTCCCTCGGTTATTGTTATAAAATATAATAAATATTTATTCTGAACGACAGGGGA